TCCTTGTTTGTGTTGGACTTTCGCAGAACGAAGCTGTTATATAAGCACGGTAACGTTTACTAAAGGTGCACGTTTTCACAAATTTGGGTACTTATACACTATAAGCTATATAGCAACCTTTGATAAGGACATCATAGTTGAAATAAAAAAGAAATGAAGATGGGCCGGGCACGTATACCACGGAAGCAGGATAACCGCTAGTCATTAAGGATATTGGATTCCCGGAGAAGGCAAACGCACGAAGGGGAGGCAGAAAGTTAAATGGACCGATGGGCTCAAAAAGTTCGCCGATATAACGTGGCAACGGAAAGCACAAGATCGGGTTGATTGGCGGGTCATGAGACAGGCCTTTGCCCTGCAGTGGGCGTATAGTCGGGCTGTGATAATGCACCTTTGCAAAGATGCGCGACAGTGGCTGCCTCCACATGGTCACACGGTCTCGTCATGTCTTCTGACGTCACGACATGATCAAATTCATCACGAAATCGTGCCTTCGCGAAAATTAACCTTACCGCCCGGTATGCTGGAGGTGTATGTACTCTCAAGAGTACTACACGTTCTCAATGAGACAGAACGTGAAAAGCATCGTTCCCAACACCGCGTTCAGTGACAGCAATGCTGATAAAAGGGCCGCAGGAAGCAAATAGTTAGCCAATTGACTGTTTGACATACCTGGGGTCATCGCCTGTGTAATTCTTCTTCCCATTAGAACAATTCATTAACGTCGCACCAAATGACACCTGGGAGCGGCGACCACAATTTTCAGCACTTCCCGAGCTGTTTATTACAAAGATGATCTGATGATATCATGGTATATACTAATTCAGAGATGCTTCGCTTTGTCATACTGTATTTATAATATTGTACTGTTTGATTCTCTACTATGCCTGTATAGCCTTTGTAAATTATTTTGAGTACGCATGCTATTAGCTGTTAGTCTTTGTCCAGTCACTTATGTTTGTTTATTTAATTCGAAAGACTGCCCTTCGGCATAACGAATATCTACTGCTGTAAATAACAAATGACCACTCCTGCAAAAACCGCATTTGGTGTTGACAGTATACTGAAATACAAAAAAACGAACGTCACATTGATGATATTGGGAGCGGCGACCACTAACGCGCGCCAAGCCGAGACAACTGGTTCACTTTGGCTTGTGTTGCCTTTCACGAACACCCCTGCGCTGAGGCCAATGCGGCAGCGAAGAAAACTTCGAACACGTCCTCTTTCGTTATCCTCGCTGCACAGACAGGCCGATTGCGACAGCGGCGTGAGAACGCCTCGACGACCAGTCGTGCTTTCCGAGCAATCAATTTCGGAGTGCCGGAAGGCACGATCGGAAAGAAGCGACAACGGCGCTCCCGTGTTTTTTTTTCTTTTTTTCTTTGTGTGTGTTTGGGTGTGTACCCCTTCCCCACTTCTAGGTGTAGAGTTATTTTTTTATATCTTTACATTTGCTCGCGTTACGGTCTTCTAGTCCCGGCGTGGACGCGGCCAGCAACTGTGGCGGACGCCTCTTAGGGGGGTGTCTGACCAGCTCTCCAGGACCAAATAAAGTTCATTTCACTTCACTTCACCCGTTCCTCGCGGCAGTGTAGCAAGCTATACACATTTATATCCCGGTTAAAGGCATCGCTTTTCGCATCTCGTGTACAGTGTGCTTTGAGTGACCTGCGCAATCCTTACACGCGTTCAATGAGAACATGTGTAACATGTCCTCAGAGAACATGTGTAACACGTTGCACATATTAACATGCTGCGCGCGCGTCCTACACACATTCTACACGTTCTTCCACCAACAACCCACCTTCGTTCGTTCAATAACCGATGGAATGCAGCACGATCTAGCCAGTTTCGAACCACAACGAAACGAAACCAAAACCAGGGCACGTTGAGGGCCAAGAACGACACAAGAACAAAATTACTCCGTTCTTGCACACAATGCTTTCGTCCTGACTGCGTGTACCAACTACCCGAAGAACCAAATCCTCCTCGACGGATTACCCGAGTACACTCCACGTGCTCGACGGCTCTTTAGCGCGGCAGTCACTATCGCCGCGAGACGCCATAACCCTTGGAAGCGGTCCAGAACTGTCTGGGGCGCAAGACAGGCTGGCCCGTTTTCTGGCCGGACGTCTCCGACGAAGAGCCTGTTGTCTCCACAAATAGTATACTGACGGGGACCGAAGCCCTCTGTGAAACGTCAAGATGAACAATCGCAGTAGGATGGAGCTCGAGCGGTCTATGATGCCCGAGATTACCATACTACTGCCTGTCTCTTTCGAATAGCGTGAGTCATTGCTGCGTGCAGTGTACCCACACCCGTTAGTGTCTTACCCCATCCGGGCAGGTATACGTGACGGCTTACGGAAATGGTTCAACTCGGATTGAGGACCGTGTGTAACGTGGAGAGACAAAGAATATAGCAACGAGTGATGGAACACTTGTTAAGGTCATCTTGGTCGAAATCAAGCAGGAATGGGCAGCAAGAGAAGGCAACGCGCGATGGAAGTTCGGTGGACATATGAAATCAAGAAGTTTACATACAACGTAGCCGCAGAGAGCACGAACGGCCGGGTTAACTGGAGAAACGTGCCAGATACATTTGCCGTGCAGAGGGCTTAACCTGAAGAATATAAACATTTCATCAAAGAATCTAATAAGAACCTATGTAGCATTTTTTAACACGAATAATCGTTGTCCATTCCTTGCCGACGAATAATCTTTGTTCATTCCTTGCTGAACTGAATACGGATGGCAAATGTTTCGGTGCACCTCAGTTGACTCGCCTTTTAAATCGCATTGCAAAATATCAGCACACTAATACTGTAAACCTAGGTGCAGCGCACGATATGTGATGTACCAATTCTTAGAGCTTTCTTCAAAGAAAGGCCCAACGAATTCCAGAGCGAGATCAAAAGGTCAACGTGGACGCAACACGCCTCTCGTGATTTCGAAAGGTCAGGGCGTCAGTCCGTTGCACCTTTCCGCCGGTCGAAAATAGCTGTGACGCGAGAAGCGCTGACGAAACACGCAGCAGCTAGACTTCAGTGTTGCGCATATTTTTAGGTCCCTCAACATGACGTGCGGGTTTCCGGTACGAAACAGATCCGGCTTTTAGCTGTGGGCCATCGCGTGTCCTGCGCTAGCCTTGAATGCCGGCCCGAGCACAGCTTCAGAAATAAATTCACTTCCATTACAGCTGCCACTAATAACAAGGGCTTGATCACGATGACACTAGACACGACGACGAAGACCTCGCGTGTAGCGTTGAGCTCGCATGCAGTCGTCAGTACGCCGCTAACACAAATGCCCCGCCGCGCTGCATGGTCTTTTTTTAAGTGACCGCGAACTGCTGGGCGCTATTGCAGGGATATTACCTCGGTACGCTTTGATGGTGTGTTGGAATGTATTGGTAACGTTTCGGCAACAGAACCCAAAGCTACACAGTGTTGGCGTCAATCAAACCGTTTATGGCCACGCTGTGGAGCGTTCCTCTTAAGCGTGCTTACAGCTGTATTTGTGTGCAAGATATGCCGGGCAAGCAGAACAAGCCTACTATAGCGCTCGTCCTCGTGAGTGTCCGTGTTCAATCTTGCGTTAAATTTAGTTAAAGCGACAGTAGCCCACCTAACAGACTGCCCTCCTGAAGTCCGGCATGTCACTTCGATGGAAGCAAAATGTGCCCGTTGAAGAACCCCACGTGACCTACATTTCCGGAGCGCGGCGTTTCTCGTAATCACGTCGTGGTTTTGGGACGTAAAACACCGGCAGCTATATGACGAATCGAAGGCGAAACTCGAAGGTCCTACAGCGTGCACGCTCCGACTTCTCCTATAGTTTTGACCTCTGTGTTAGGAACCTTATGTAACCCTCTCCTGCTAGGATGGTGAAAAACTGTCTGCAGTATTCCTTAAATAAAAAAAAAATAAAAAAAAAACCGTCGGTGGTGCGGCAGTTTCGCCGGGTACTTTATGTCGACGTCTAACGTTCACTAGCCCCGCGCTCGATAAAATTGCTTTGGTTGACGTCGCATTCAAGTCCGGTCACGCTTTCGCTCCTCTTAAGTGTTTTAGGGGGCCGGGCTGCCGTGTGCTGTACAGTATGCTGCAGTCGTCGCTCAGAGTAACACTTCGTGTGTGTAGCATATTGAGAGCGATTTCGCGCCAAGAAGTCTTCTTACTATTGTTCTTCGAACACCCTCATGATGATCACTTATCATAATCAACCGAAACAAATAGTGCGCTAGTGGTATAACGCACGTGAACCCACGTATAAAAAGAGAACGAAAAAGAGGAAGCAAGCGGGAAATAGAACCAGAGAGAACGAAAAAATAGGAAAAAAAATAGAAATAGCAAGCAAGCAGAAGAAATAGATGGAGAGGAAGGAAGAAATATATAGATATAAAGAGAAAAAAAGGCAGAAAAAAAGGAAAAATGAGAAGAAACGAAAGAGGAGAAATGAAAAGAAAACAAAGAAGGCTGCCCCCTTCATGCGGGCTTGGCACCACTAGTTCGAGGCTTCCTTTTTTTTTTTTAATGGCTCACCTATAGGCGTCACGTGATCTCCTGCTTCATTTGCCTCACGCCGGCTTCTCTGTGAACGACACGTTCGCACGAGAAATGCAAGGTTTTCGCCGTGTACTGGTTGGTCGACCCACTACAACTTTTTAGTGGGCCAACCACCCACCACCCACCACCGTCTTGTAGTGGTGCGCACTTGGAAGCCACAGCAATGACGTCAGACCACGCTTACTGACGTTTCTACATTATGCACCATCCACAAAACAGTGGACCGATAGGCACGCCGAGTTGCACTAGTGCTTGACCAGGTATCTTTGCTCTCTACTGCGAAGTAAGAACCCGATAACAGTGTGGCACCTCAGCATCGCTCGTTTCGGCCCGCACACACAGCGTCCAAAATATGCCTTCGAATTGTTTTTTAGTTGATTGTCTTTCGAGTATACAGTCCTTACTTGTACGTAGAGAGAGTCTGATTACCTCTGCTGCCTGACGTAACCGTCCGGCTGGCTGGCCATGCTCGCAGCGGAGTGGGCCAACAGGGGGAGCTGGTCTGGCCCGACGGGCGACTCCGGGGTCGAGACCAGGTGCGGTCGCTGAGCCTCGTACAGGGTCACTCGCACGCGCCACGCCTCCTCCTCCTCGCCCCTCCTGTTGAGAGAGAGAGAGATAAAACTTTGACACTCGGAACACGCGCATCTCTAGCTGCACGATCGTCAGATCCAACTAACACATAGAAAGGAAACCACTGGACGAGCCCAGGTCATGCACACACTCGAAGGTACACATAAAGTCTATATACAAGCGGTCGAGTAGGCCGTTCGGAATCAAGTACACCATAGCAACGCTCTCGCTTCCATGGTGCGTCAATACCAGCCTGCACTTTGAATTCGCAGTACGAAACAAAGGCTGAATATAAAAAAACGAATGAATAAAAACGAAGAGACAGCGTTACGTTAGACGTCACCTTTACATCAATACAGCAGCATGTCACGGTTCCAAAGCGTCCGACCACATCCGACTTCACCCAAGCACCGACACTTAAGCATAGTCGTACTCACAATCCAGTATTAGTTCAGAGATACCAAAACGGCTTGCAACTCGAGCAACATTCCCAATTCCCAACTTTCCACCACCCAAAACGGTTCTACTGAAGTCACTTGAAAGCTCAGTGTCGCCCCAATCGCACCTTGAGTCAGGTGCCGTGCGCAGTCCGAGCATCTCCGCGTGTCGTTAAACGAAGCACGGGGTTTGAGACGTAAGTCGTTAGTCAACTTAGCGAAGACGTTCCTCGCGTGGTGGCGCAGCTATCGCGAAAATTTGACGCGCTTCTTTCGAATATTATTTGCGGCTCTGACTGTATTCCATCGCCGTACCCTTCCCCGACAGCATGCGAGCCCCACAAAAGGACATTTAATTTAAACCTTTAATCTAATTAAATTTAAAGCTGACCTTTAATCGGGCGCCTTCGGCTAGCCCGTTCTTGTTGCTACGGCCTACACCAACGCACACTTGCAAGCCCAGGAAAAGGAAAAAAAAAAAAGAGATATTGGACATTCCCCGCTTATACATATTTTATCCCTCAACGTCAAATGTCCGTTCCCCTTGACACGCTTTCTTGGTTGCGCAATGTTCCGTCTCCCGCGACGCTACAGGAACAAGGTCCGCCCCTGCGCTGTCGCGAAACAGCGAAGTACCACCTTTTCTTTTTGCCTCCTACAATGCCATCGTTCTCGTCCACAGCGACGACACGGTCTTCGGCGACGCCCTTGCGCGACGTCAATCACAGCTGCTCCCTGACGCAGGCATCTTCGTCGATAAGCTCTGCAAGCCGCACTCGCCATGTTCACGCATCGATTAGAGCGAGTCTCCGATCACCCGCTTTCCCTGAAAGAGACGGACGCGCACGCTATGGATTCTACAATCAATCGAGTATTTCAAGCTTGCCGGCACTTTTTTTTCCTCCCAGCGCACGAAGCGTGCAACCTTACAATTCACGTACAGATGATGATGATAATTATAGTAATGATTATAATAATGTCCCACGGTACCTATACGCACTTGCCGACGACGGCTCGAAGGCGAAAACCAATGACTTGAATGTCGGTCGATTGCAAACATTCCATCCCCTCATCCCCTCTAAAAAAACATCCTGTACCCAACACGGTTTAGCGCTGCTGCCTCTGAGACTGGTGGCGTTGCAATGCTTCTGTACCCTACGTGTTTCTACGTTGCCTCCGTGATCGTGTCGCCTTTGACCAAGCGACTACGTCATGTGCTTGCTTGAAAAACATCGCTGGTTCAGTAGGTAGACGCTTGAGGAGGCCCAGGAGGGGCCACCCTTCCCATGACGTCATTGTGCGTCACCGCAACATGGCTTCATCGTCAGTCGCGTTGACGCCAATGGTGACATTTCGCATCTGATGAGGCATCTATATATATGGCCTTCGCCTGAACAAATATTAATGAAATGAAAGGAAACGGTCACTTATACGACCTCGGGACAAAAACACGGCGCCCAACTAGACGGAGCAGTTTGGTGCGTGTGAGGACGAACGACAGGTGTGCCGAGTTACCTGCGTGGGTAGCGAAAAGGCACGCCCCTCTCTCTGTCGCCGCGAATCCGAAACCACGAATCACCGCCCGTCCGACGTCGTCGGCAGAGTCTGTGAAAGTTCCGCCTAAACATGGGCGTGTCCCACCGACACTTCCTCCGAGCCGACAAAGCCCGAGCAATCTCTTTTCGCGGCCCACACGCGCGAACGCAGGGTTAAGGTCAAGGCCGACAGTCTCCCGCTGCACAAACACATACGTACATCCGCTGGTGCGCCAGCAAGAGGACACCGCCAAGGCCGTGGGTATGTGACACGCGCCTGGTTAACTGCCACGCGTCATTGGAAGCTGGTAAGAATAGTTAAACGTGACTGAGCATTACTCTGAGATGAGCTAGCTGGTCGCCTAGGAGAGGGGGTTTCGACACCCACCCCTTTAGTCACATAGGAGGGAAGCGGGGGGGGGGGGCTAAATCTGCGCCATACTAAAAAAACAATTAAGACCCAATCTACACAGACGAAAAAAAAAAGAAGGGGGATAGGATAGGACAGGACGTTGCAACTAACTTCATTAAAAAAAACTCATTTTATATGCATGCAAACATGCACGCAGTTACAGTTTCGTGGGGCATGGCGGCGTGGGGCATGGCGGGGGGGGGGGGGGGGGCAATCCCACGCTTAACACATCATGAAAACAAACCATCAAAAAATTGCGCTTCAGATTTATGCAGCGTGACAGACAGATTAACAAAGTACGCCTCTAAAAGCTCGCGCGCTGCAGTGTTTTTGCTCCTCGGCGAGTATGCGAATGTTTATAAGGTCTGACTCACGCACGCTGGATTCAAAGTGCACGGATAAATTTAATTTTTTTCTTTGTTTTAGTTGAAACATCATTCTCCCTTTCCCCCTCCTGCCCCCCCGTTTTTTTTTTCGTCCATGTGGATTGCGTCCTTTATTTTTTTTTTTAGTGTGAACCAACCAGCCTAACAACGCGCGAGTAATCTGCGTCATACTTTGACTTGGGGGGCGCTGCGATTAGCACTGGCCCCCGTGAAGGCTGATGGGGAATTCTGCGCACACCTATGGTTCATAGGTACGCATGTTAGAGAGGTAGGACGTGCGAACAGGGAATTCAGGGAGAAGTTAAACGTGTAGGCTTCTCTCATGTGTCCTTTGAACAACTTAGAAACTTCATTTATCTCGACACTTGGGATTCCGAGAACCGTCATCAAGAAGCCTCTAAATGGGCTTGACTGGGACCATGACCGCTTAAAAGTAGGTGGCACAGGCATTTTTATCGCAATAAAAATGTACAAATTGATTGAATAAAATGTACAAATTGAGTTTGTGCTGATCAAAGAGTTTGTGCAAGTTAAAATAAGAACAAAGATTGAAAACAAACTCAAAAGGTGCAACTGGAAAAGAAAATACAAATGATAGTAATTATTTCCTATACACACGAAATCAATAATAGAGTGTATTGATAGCCCCGCCGCGGTGGTCTAGTGGTTAAGGTACTCGGCTGCTGACCCGCATGCAAATCACGGGATCGAATCCCGGCTGCGGCGGCTGCATTTCCGATGGTGGTGGAAATGTTGTAGGCCCGTGTGTTCAGATTTGGGTGCACGTTAAAGAACCCCGAATGGTCGAAATTCCCGGAGCTTTCAACTACGGCGTTTCTCATATTCATATAGTGGTTTTGGGACGTTAAACCCCACATATCAATCAAATCAAGAGTGTAACAATACAAAATATACGCGATTAGCACCAAAGTCAAATTGACTATGTGCCCATGTGATAAGGCACGAAAAATATTTAAAAAAAATGGTATGTGTAATTTTACTAATATGGCAGATATGGCATTCATGTGAAACGGCGAGAGAAAGCGAAGCATTTCTTTGGCGTAGTTAGTGCGTGGTATAAACCTCGTGTGATTGAAACGTTTTTTTTATGAACAACTTCGCAATGGTTTTGGACGGCAATGGTTCCTTAAAAGTTGTCGCCTTTTAGTCCTGCGTGCTAGCGTTTCACAAGCATTGCGCGGTAGTATTCTGGCAATGTTAGTAGGTTCATATCCTGAAATATGGGAGTGCTGTGACTGCAATAAGGAACATTTGCAACGGCCCTTTTCCGTACGCGGTGCAATTGGCGGATATTTGTTACCGTTGTCGTACCTCAAACCAGATGACAGTAGTTAGCATGAGATAAAAAAAACAAGGATTTATAGATAAGACGCCTTAGGTAGCGAGAAACGCACCCGCGATAATATGCCCAAAATCACTGATACCTTGTTTGCACGGCCAGTCCAATAACATGTGGTTTAAACAAAACATACGGCATACATTAAGTCAACGGTATTACTTTGAAATGTTGTCAACAAGTACAGTATGTTCGCCGGCAAATGAATTCGGGATGGTTATAAGTAAAGTGAAACATTAAACTGCGTTGATTGGCGCTATGCGTCCAGTGAGGTATAAAGAGAGGTTCCATATTGGTAGATGAATCGCGTCTCGAGACGACATCCGCGTTAACGGAGTTGAGAGGAAACCAGAGTCACATTCAATAAAGTAGAAAAATTTATCGCTATCCCATGACGTCCTTTCAAGCCCGGAAACACGTAGCGCTCCCACAGCCCAATCTTGCAAAGCGAGCTTTGCAGTGATCCCGAGTAAATGAATGAATATACTTCATCTAAAATACATCAGGCGAGGCAGGGGGAAGGTGGGTATGCTATGCAAACACGCAACGTTTCATTTGCATTGCACATTCAATACACCACACCTCCCGCAACGCACGCCGGCGCACGCATGTTTCCGATAGACACGCGCCAATTAAAGCGCTCTCACGGAGCGCCAAATGATGACGCGGTCAAGTTTCGACCTCGCTATTAGCATTCGAGAGAAGGGCGTTTCCAAACAAACAACGCCGAGGTTTTCGCGCGCTCTAAAAACGGTGCCGCCTCTCTGGCATCGCGTCGTCGGGCCGCCACCCTATATTTAAACGAGGCGCGGATCACCGTATATCTGGTTTCAATAAACGCAGTTCCGGCGGGCCCGTTTCGTCGGCTCATTATCCCACTCATCAGGTGTATATACACGG